GCTTTCTGAAAATCCAATTAAATTCTGACTTTATCTTTTAATTTAGAAAATTTTCCATGGAAATGTAACAAGCTGAACTTCGTTGTTTTAGACATAGAGGTGAGCCTTTTGCACACACTCACACAGTGATTATATTTTTTTATAGACTGCATATCTTTACTCAGCTTCCCCATACTGAAGCTGTCCCTTGTTCATCTTTGTTCTGAGGATAATACATTGCCTTTTATGCTTTCACGGTTTTGGTGGTGATGATAGATTTTTTTAGATGGAGGTTTATACATATTTATACAACAAACAAACTCTTTCCATTTGATTGTTAGTTGTACTACCTTCACTATTAAGGACTGCAAAAAGGAAATTATATTCTTTAATATTTTCTCTCTATTGACTTTTATATGTGATCATAGTTAATTGTTTTTGCTAAATTTTGTTCTCCTTTAGAGTTTGTATGACATACTTCCATACGCATGATTGTTATTCGTGATTTTGCAGTGTAGGCTTGTGTTAACTTTCTGGTTTTCACATTTTCTCTGACAGTTAGAAAGCACATGTATGCATTGGTAAAATAAGTTTAAAAAATCTATCTTTCAGAAAAGTTTTTGTAGTCACAAGGGAAATAGAGAAGTAGATGCCTCAGGAAGTTAGACATTTTAAGTGTGTGAGGCAAGAATATGTATTTTACAAACTAAAATTGTTTACTGACATCAGAGACTTTTTATTTAAAAAACAATAAACTCATTTTTAAATTGATACATCAGGTTTTTGTCTCCTATGAATATGTAAATCTCCATTAACTACCATGGTTCTCTATTTATTTTGAATAAATTAAATATATATATAGAGAGGTTAAATTTCAACTATTAAAAATATATACGTCAGAAAAGAAGTCATACTCCATAAGGAATATTTATCCCCACCTTTGATCATAGTAGTTTTCTATACTCACAAGTATGGAGTTGCTGTCCTACACATTTTTGTGCAAGCTTCATAATTGCATCTCTGCATGCATCACCTTCACTTAGCTAAATTATTTGCCATACTGATCATGTTTTTTTCCTTCTTCATACTAATATAAAGTATAAAATAATGTGAATCTCTGAACTTAATAGCAAAACTCATAATTTCTGAAAAGCAGATTAGAGTATTGGAATGGGAAAAGCTTTCCACCAATTTACTGATTTCTGTCTCCCACCAGGAGCTGATTCTGTGCTTAGAGGACAGTGAGGACTTATAAGTTGGTTTTGTCTGTTACATGTAAAATTAATTCATGATCTTTTTTTCTGTGTTTACAATGTGTCTGAAATCAGGTCTGGTACTGTAAGAAAATTTAAATTTTCTCTTCAAATAATGTAGTAACTTAGAAATATAAAAACTTTATTAACTCTGAGTGGTAGATCATACATATTGGTGTGTTGTAATTTGCTTCTAGACAGGTGTAGTAAAGTCCCTATTCTATGAAAGATATTAAGGGTCAAATTTTGTCACTCTCATGTTTGTATTTTACTGAACTGTTGCTACTGTCATTGAGTAAGCAAAGTAATTGAATGGGTTCAATATGCTTCTGTGACCATAAGTTGTGAGTATAAATTTAATGGTACTTTTGGAAGATATTACACATCTCTGTCTCTATGCTTATGTATTTCCAAATACAGTATAAAATATTGAGAAACACATTTAGAACTAATCTTCAAACACATGAATTATCTCCATAGGAATAGTAATCCAATTCATGCCTTTAGATCAGTTCCAAAAAAGAAAGCAAATTCTTGCTGAATAATAATGAACCAAAGCCAGGACAGAAACCTCTGAAGACACAAGAGTAAGCTGAAAAGCATCTGATCTTGTTCTTAATGATAATAATGATTAATTTCCTGATATTCACACTTTTAATATTTCAATTTCTTCAAAACACAGCTGCTCAGATTTCAACTAATGATTTGAAGCTGGCTTGTATTGCCACAATCTTGACTTGAAGTAGAAACCAATTAATTTTGACAGACTTAGGCATCAAATATGTCTATATTCAATGAGGCTTCTTATGTCAGAAGGATCTATTCATGGTACATTATTCTGAATGATCTGAATTCCTGTGGAACTTCTATTTTTCGTTGTATTTTGGAAGTGGGTAGCCAGTCACATATGCAGGTGACAACTAACCAATATCAGGATTGTACAACAGGGGTTTTTTGGTTTTTTTTTACAATTTTTCAACTTTCAGCTTATCTGTAAACTCTTCTCATCTTAAATAGAAGAGTGTGTGTGTGAAGAGCTCTGTGTGTGTGTGTGTGTGAAGAGCTGTGTAAAGCAATTGTCTGAGGCAGTGCTTCCAAAATCCAGTGGAAATAGTTTATTTTTTTAATATCTACTTTACTTTTTGCAGTGTTGTAAGAATCAGCAGAGTCATGAGAGACAGTGCACACTTAGGTGAACTGTCTTGTGAGCAACTACTTGAATTCAGAAGGGTTGTCAGAGAACGTCTGAAAACAAAAGCTATAGGAAGTATTTATAATTTTCAATAAATAAAAAAGGTTGTGTAGACTACTTGTTATGTCTCTGAGACATTTTACTAATAATCAATGAAAGCTAAAAAATAAAAAAAATCATCTTAGTTTTACAAGTGTATACTACACTGCCTGTACCCTGCAGCACTTTAAAGGTTGCAGTAATTGAGAACAGATCTTTGTGTGATTCACACAAAATGAGAGGCAGAGACAGGGAACCTGTGATACTTATTGACGTAAAGAAAATAGGTAATGGGATAAAAGCAAAAATGGGCAGTACTGAGGTTCAAAGGCAGATATAAATTACTGGGTAAAAAAATCACATAAGAATTTTTTTGATTGTGTTTTGTCAAACTGTGGACTATAGACTTGAACATAAAATATTACCATATTAGAATATTACATTGTCATATTATAGTAGAATATTGCTTTCACTACACTGATTGCTGGAGAGAAAGTACTCTGATACTCACCACAAAACACAGATGTGTTTTGTTCATCAGTCACTTGACAAAAGCAGTGAGATCAATCATATACAGCCATTAAAACCCTAAAGGTGTACATTTTTCTCCCTTTAACTCCAAAGAAATTCAGTATTAACCCATAACATTTCAGTATTTTATGTTGCTGTATCAGAAGCCTTCCTAAATTATAAATATGCATAGCTAATAGCTTCATCTTTGCAGTTTCTTTTATTTGTATTTTCAAATGAATGAAGATTCATATTTTAATAACTCCTTTTTTCCTCCTTAACCAGACTTTATAAAACCAAGTGATTGGTTTAATTTGTGATTTTATTTTTTTTCTTCTAGATTTCAGACTATGGTACTGAAAGCAAACGTCTGTTAGGAATATGTCAAATTAGTATAAATAATAGAATTTAGGGGTCAAAGACTAAGATTTCATCAGGACCATTCCACTATAGAATGATATGGCTTTCCTTTGAGACTTCCACTGTGCAGCTGCCCAGAGAAAAGGCAGCAAACACAACTCATAACCCTACCATGCAAAATAGATGTGCTTTATGTCCCAACTCTGCCGCAAAGGATGGACTCATTGTTCAGGTGGAGCAGCAGATTGTGTCTAGAATACTCATTGGTTTCCCCCTCCTGACTTTCTTCCCGCACACAGATATGAGCTGCAAGAGTCATACAGTTCCTTATTAAAAACATACACAAAAAGCTGTGCTTGGCATTAATCTCACTCATGACCTCAATGGCTTCAGCTGCTGATCATACATAAATGAGGAGCCTTCCTCTCATCTCCTTCCTCTCTCCTTGTTTTCATGCTTCTGGTGTGGTTTTGAACAGACTTTTCACTACAATATTGCTTCTCTGAGGGGTGAAAGTGGTGCAGGTTGGGTGGAAATAGTGACATTCTTTTTAGAGGGTAATGGGAGGGAAGGAAAAAGTCTTCATCCAGCAGTACTTGAATCTTCCTGTATTCAGTATTGATCAAATAAACAGGCTTTGTGAAAGTGCAATACAGCTGTATGGTAATTTCACATATCTTAGTGTGATTTTTTTTTTTTTTAATTATTCAATTAAGCGAGATGGTCTGTTAGAATACAGAGGAAGCAATAATTCTTTAGCTTCTGCAGTTTATTTGTGGTGCCATAAAAATCACTGGAGAAATAGGATAAGCTCATGTTTAGCTGAGGTTACTTGTCAATTCTACAGCTTCATACAGGAAAAGTTAACCCATAGTGCATTCAGTAAAGATCTGAATATCAAGAACCAGCAATAAAACTTTTATTGACTTCAGCAGACTATTAATTTAGTGCCTTAAAAATGTCATTTTCAAGCAGAAAGGACATAGGTTTTGTCCTTTGTGTTATTTGTGATGTGAGATGCAACATATAGTAAATAAGTATATCAGTTTGTTTTTAAGATACGCTACTGTAAATAAACATACAGACTTTAATTTGTAAATAAATGCCTTCTGTAGTCTTTAAAAACAGATAACATTATTTTGTGTAAGTCTAACTTTTACAAGTTTCCTTTAAAGTGTTCAGTGCTTCAGCTATTGGTCCATTGGGTTGGACAGTGGTTGCAGCAGAAAAAATGCTGACGTGCCATGCACTAATATATATGCACAAACAATACACAGTGATAACAGTGATCTTTGTGCTCTACTATGTAAACTCTTGTCTTTCAAGACATTAGTGAAGGTAATGACATAAGATTACTTCTTGAAGTGTTCCTTTAAAAATAAATAGAGCAGTTTCTCTTAGTGTAGTTGCTCTTTTTACTCCAAATACCTTTTTTTTAAAAAAAGCAAAACAAACCAAAATGATTATGAGCTTGGGCACAAGAGAAAGTCTATTTTACTTTGCCAGAGTAACTAAACATGAAGATTCTATTATCTTCTGTGAGGTGGTTCTATTTCGATCAATGGTATTTTAATCCTTCACATCTTGATGAATATGTTAGAGCTTGGTTTATGAATCTGCTACATGTATTTTGTATGTGAATTAAAAGGTGAACTTTCTTTTTGCAGTCAAGACTTGCGGATCCAATCTTCAGGGACCTGGAGGCACTTTCACATCACCCAATTTTCCATTCCAGTATGACAGCAATGCTCAATGTGTGTGGGTCATCACAGCTATCAATACTAATAAGGTAAGTTTAAAATTCTGGCCTTGCTTTAAAAAACAAACAAAAGTACATGTAGACTATGATACCTTTCACTAATATGATTTATCTCTATAGTCCAGTAGCTATGGTGCATTGCAGACATTTTAAGAAATGGCTGATACTAGATTTGTATGGACAGATGTTAAAACCTGTTGTTTCCCCTAAGAGTGTTTTGCTTTTTGTATGCCAGGTAGATACCATCATGTTTTTATGTGATTCTCTAAATGAATTCCCAGAAGCAACTACCCAATGGAATGAAGCAATGTCAATGTCATGTGTCCACTAATACTGTGTTATAATAAGTAGAGCTGTTTTGTGTACAAGACTGTTTATATCATGTTTGGCCTTAGACTATGTGAGAAATCACTGAAGTTCATGAATTCACTTTCACTTCATGAAGGTTATTCTAAAGTTGTGTAATTTATTTTGTTGTCTGAACTGCTGTATTTAAATCCCATATACTTTATACCTACACTTTAAACCAAAAGTACTAGGAGTTCTGATAATGCCAGATGAGTCAAAGTAGAGCATAAAGCTAAGTTATGACACCAGTTGTCTTTAAATTCAAGAGCTAGGCACCTGGCAGCAATGGCTGTATTCTATTTCCAGGTGTATCATTTTATCTGAACTGAGTGAATGGACTTGTTTAGATGTAATAAAACAAAAATTAGCTGTACAGCTCGGGAAAGTTTTATGAAGGACTATCAACATCTGTGTTTGCTGCTACAGGGTTATATTCTACCTCCTAATTTCTGTCTTCTATTGCCATCCGCATCACACTCCACTAATTGATCAGAGAGGCCTAGAAGGCCTACTCCTTTACACCTGAGCTTATTAACCAGGAAACCAGAGGACTCAGTGAAAACTTGATTAGATTTCAGAAACTCTCTCTAATCTTACAAAGTCCTGTTTGGAAGCTATCTTTATGTTCTACTTTGGAAGACGAAAAAAGGAAGAAGAAAACCTTTCTATGATTCCAGGATATTTAATCTAGTAATTAAAATATTCATAATGAAGACAGTAGATGTGTTTGGTGGGGTAGGAAGGGTTGTTGGTTTGTTTTGTCTATGTTCTGAGCACTGCTAATCCAATATACCCAATTTATACGTCATCAAAAACATGTGAAGAGTCCTTGAAAGATGATTCAGTCTTTGTCCCACAGATGAGCAAAAAGTTCAAAAGTAATAGTTAAAATCAATTTCTCTGGCCCAAAGAAGCTTCATATTTTTATTTCTTTAATCAAAAAGTGTTAGTGAGAAAGATGGAATCTATGCACAGAGAAAGTGAATTTTCTCTCACAGAGAGATGTGGCAATAAATAGAATTTAATCTCATATTGTTTGAGGAAATTAAATGCAGCTTTTACAATTTGAACAAATGCTCTAAATGGCTTGAAAACCATCACTGAGCTGTATTATAGAATGAATTTAAGACCTTTTTGGCCATATTTTGCATAAAATGGTTTCCTTTCTTAAATACAGCAGGGGCATGTCTATATAACAACAAAGTGAAATAAGATTTTATACATCCTACCAATGGTAGAAGCAAAACTTTAAGCTCACAAACTTTTATGTACCTACTGGAAAATCACAGGTGATTGTAGGATTAAGATATTTATGACTTGAAGAGTGTTAAGGATTACACTCGGGCAGATGTATTTGTGTCTTAATGTTGCCTTCCTCCTCCCTCCCTGCCAGTTCACAACATGGCGATGCACTGGTATCTTCAAAACCTCAGAACTTTGTTTTGACCAAAAGTATTTTTCATAGAGTATACAAAAAAATTATTCCCCAGCATTATTTTCTTTAGAAATTTCCAGTTTCTGCTTTTAAAGAACTTTTAATTGAAAGCTGAGTGCAGAAAATTGAGAAGTGAACAAATGCTTTGTCTCTGGTTCTCAGTGTGGTTCACAGAGTTACAGAATGATTGAGGTTGGAAAAGACCTCTGGAGATCATCTAGCTGAACTCCCCTGCTCAAGCAGGGCCACCTAGAGACAGTTGCCCAAATGGTCTTTGAAGATCTCCAAAGATGGTGACTCTATGTCTCTGGGCAACCAGTGCTAGTGCTCAGTCACTCTCACAGTGAAAAAATGTTTCCTGATGTTCAAACGGAACTTCTTGTGTATCAGTTTGTGCCCATTGCCTCTGGTCCTGTCACTGGGCACCACTGGAAAGAGTTTGGTTCCATCTTCTTTACATCATCCCTTCAGGTGTTTATACACATTAAGATCCCCCTCAGCCTTCTATTCTCTAGGCTAAGCAAGCCCAGTGCTCTCAACCTTTCCTTTTATGAGATATGCTCTAGTCCCTTATCATCTTAGTGTCCCTTCACTGGACTCTTTCCAGTAGCTGCATGTCTCTTGTACTGAGGAGGTACAGTTGTTAGACTTGTTTTCCTTTCTCTCAAAGCACTTAGGAGATCAAGTTATTCCATGTGTATCAATTCCAGTACTAATTAAAAAAAACAAACCCCCTCTTTAGTCAGAGGTCTTGCCTGCAATAGTTTAAATAAAAAGTTTTTAAAAAGTTATTTTATGTTGGAATTTTTTTTCTGAAATAGTACATATTACAAAATAGTGTATTAGCATAGCATGAATACTGTTCCAGGCCCTGATTCATAAAAAATATACAAGCATACACTCAGTTTTAATATTTGAGGATGAACTAGAATTCATAGGTTGAATCTCTGCTGGTTCAGTAAAATATTTCAGTGCATACATGATTCAGTTTGATTTGATTAATACTTACATATTGCATTTACATGGTAAGGTTTCCGTAGTGGGGCACTGCAGGGGTGACTTCTTTGAGAATTGATCAGGAGCTGCCCCCATGTTGGACTGACCCAGTTCTAGCTGGCTCCAAAACAGACCCACTACAGGACACAGCTGAGCCAATCAGGCAAGCTGGTGGCACCTCTGGGATAACGTATTTAAGAAAGGGTAGAAAATGCTGTGAAACAGCAGCTGAGGAAGAGGAGTGAGAAGATGAGAGAAACAACTCTGCAGACACCAAGGTCAGTGAAGGAGGACAGGGAGGAGGTGCTCCAGGCACCGGAGCAGAGATTCCCCTGCAGCCCGTGGAGAAGACCATGGTGAGGCAGGTTGTCCCTCTGCAGCCCATGAAGGACCCCACACCACCGCAGGTGGATGTGTCCTGAAGAAAACTTTGAACCTATGGAAAGCCTATGCAGGAGCAGGCTCCTGGCAGAACTTGTGACCCCATGGAGAGAGAGGAGCCCACGCAGCAGCAGGTTTGCTGGCAGGACTTGTGACCCTGTGGAGGACCCACACTGGAGCAATCTGTTCTTGAAGGACTGCACCTCATGGTACGGACCGACACTGGGGCAGTTTGTGAAGAACTGTAGCCTGTGGGAGGGACCCACTTTGGAGAAAGTCATGAAGGACTGTCTCCCATGGGAGGGACTTGATGCTAGAGCAAGGAAAGAGCATGAGGAGGAAGCAGCAGCAGAGATGAAGTGTTACAAACTGACTGCAACCCCCATTCCCTGTCCCTCTGTGCTACTTGGTGGAGAGGAGGAGGCAGAAGAGTCAGTAACAAAAAAGGGAAGTTGAGCTTGGGAAGAAGGGGGGTAGGAGGAAGGTGGATTTAGTTTTGTTCTTATTTCTCACCATCCTACTCTATTTTTAATGGGCAATAAATTAAAATAACCTTCCCCAGGTCAAGTCTGTTTTGCCCGTGATGGTAACTATTGAGTGATCTTCCTATCCTTATCTCAACCCACGAGATTTTTCGTCCCATTTTCTCCTCCTGTCCTGCTGAGTGGCTTGATAGGCACCTGGAAGCCAGGTTAGTGGATGGTACATCAGAGAGTTATGTCAGTAATAATAATGCAAAGAAGAAATGCTAGATTAAGCAAAATACTTTATTTCAAAATATGAATGCTGGAGACTGTTCCTGCACTTCTGTGATGTGCCACCAAAATTATTAGACTCTGAGAAGTCTTAGATTCATCATGGGCCGATCATAGTGCAAGGAGTTACCCAGTTTATTATAGGTGTAACAGCTTCAGTATTACCCAGAAAATACTGTTTTTTTTCATTTTATTGGTTGGACATAATTATATCTCTTTGATATTGCAATGAAATGCAGACTCACAGATAATTATGGGGTTTCTAAAGTAGTGGATAGATAAAAGGTTTATTATGTTATCTGAAATAATATTCAGGTATGTTTATAGTTTTCAGTATAAATAGAAAAAGGTGTCTAGCACTAATTAGAAGAACCTAAACTTGTTGAGGTTAAATGAAATCATTTTACAGGTTAGATCAAGTTATTTTTAGAATATTTTAAGGAATCTGCATGCATAAAGTTTTTGCTTGCATTATCAGTGGTTTAATATGTTCAGTTTTGATTCATGCTAACATTGCCTCATTGTTCTGAACACAATAGTGCTTGCCTTGCGTGACTACTAAAAGGCATAACTTTTGATGTTTGCCTTGAAGTCAAAAACGTCATTGATGCATAATGAAGATTAGCCATTAAGAGTTATTTATAATGACTACAACAAATGTCACGGTGTTCATTATAACATGGCAATATTTACAATATTTTATACCACAGCCATGAGAACCATGAAGACTTATTGATCCTGGTATTTCAGGAATTATTGATCTGGTATTTCAGAGCTTCTTCTGTTGCATCATTTGCAACAAAATAGCTCAGAAATAGAGAATCTTCTAAGGGAGAGACCACTAGATGAATGACCCTGAAAGGAACTTTAACTGTGATGTAAATGGACATTCCTCCCATATCTACATGCATATTTCAGGATTGAATCTGGATAATTTTCTTCCCTGACTAGTTTCACAAATAAGTTTTATATCAGTACAGTATAGATGAAAGAAATATTGTCCCAGGCAATCATCTGCCTCATTAGCTTTATACTGCATTACAGTTGGTCTCTTGCCTCATACAGTTAACCAGATATGCTGTTCGTCCCCAAGCCTTGTTGACAGTGGAGTAGAACCAT